CCCGCATCCTTTTTGAATTGTGGAGCCCAAAAACTGGACACAGTACTCCAGCTGCGGCCTCACCAAGGCCGAGTCCAAGGGGAGAATGCCCCTGTGTCTGTATACATGCAGGCATGTGTGTGTCCACCTCTGTGCATCCACATATATGCATGTGTGTTAGGGTAATGATACGGATTTTAGGGAGCTCTGAGTGTGCAGCTGAGTGAAGGCTTTTTTCCTGTCTCAGCACAGCTGCTGGTCACATTGCAGAATGATGTATTAAAATAACCTTGCAAATGCTTAGGCAAGTAGTTTCTTTAACAGTGTAATAGTGTGCAGAGTACATGATTCCGTGTGGAGGAAGAACAAGATGCAGCCCACCAGCTATTGTCTCCAGGAGATAAAGCAGAAGCAAGACCTTGGAGACAGTGCTGAAATCAGCAAAGAACCAGAAAGAATCAGTGATTGACCGAGAATACCTTAGTTCATAGGCTTACTGTCGCGAGCAATGTGTGCAAGTAGTGTTCGCTCCCTGCTTGCTTTGGCTAATGAGTAACAGGGTCCATAAGCAATTAGACCGCCGTCTCCCTAGTTGTTAGGCGCCGCATGTAGCCAGGGTCTAACTGTGTGCACGCACATGCATGTGTATGCATCTACATGTGTGTGCATGCATGTATAGATGTGCACATGTCTGCAGGTATGTCCCTGTGGCTGTCTGCATGTATGCCTGTGCGTGTCCCTACAGTCATATGTGTTCACGTGCCTGTGTGTGTACATCACTGCCCCCTGCTGGACACACTCGTAGGCTGGCAGGGACCTGCTTCTCCGTGTGGCTGTCACACCCGCTCCTCCTGCACCGTGCCAGTGCTGTTGCTGCACATGCGTGCACAAGGCTGCTCCGCTGCTGGGCTGAGCTCCGGGGCCTGCTCTGCAGCTCTGCCCCCTCTCCATGACTCCCCCCAGCACCCTCCTGCCCGGGGCTGGGGCTTTGCCCCCCAAACCCTCTGCTCCCAGCATGAACCCTACCTTGGCAGGGAGAGAGGGGAGGGGAGGCCCCCGCCCATGCCCTGCTTGTCGGTCCCAGTGAAGGTGCTGTGCAACTCCGAGCGTGGGACTGAGCTCCCAGCTTGTGCCGGTGTCGTCGGGGGGCCCCCCCTGGACTGACCTATTCTTCCCCCTGCCCCAGACTGTGAATGAAAGCAGCTTTGGGATTAGCCCCACTCCCAATGCCTCCCCTGCCTCTATCTGCCCCCCGTTGAGGAAGACAGGCCCAGGCCTGGCTCCAAGCGGGTGCTGGGGGCTGGCATGGCCAGCCCAGCCCCGACTTAGCCTCTCCTTTCCCCCTGCCCCCGTGGGTGCTGTTTGCCTCTCATCCTCGTGGCGAGGCAGCTCCTTCTGCAGAGACAGGAAACTGAGTCAGGGAGCGACTGGGCCGGTTGCTCCGGGAGGGCACTGTGCCACGATTCCCTGCCAGCTTCCGGGGCTCTGCGCACTGGGGACCCCGTAGCCTCTCTCTGTCACACGGCAATGGGACAGGGTGGGGCAGGGCGGGGCGCCAGGTCCCAGTCCCTGCCTCCATGGGGCGGAGAGGGTCGGGGGTATAAATGGGAGGCTTTGCATTTCTCTCACGCTTGAGGTTTTGCAAACGCAGTTCCTCTTCAGCTGCTGTCGGAGCCTGGCGTGGGGCTGGGATCGCTGGGTGCTACCCAGGGGCATAGGTGAGCATGTGGGGGGCACCAAGGAGCCCTGGCATTGCACCGGGATATGGGGTGGGCAGCCCGGACCCTGGGGCTGAAGCTGGGGCTGGGGCTGGGGCAGCATAGGTAATACGTGGGGTCAGGAGGATGCTGCAGCTGGGACCCCCCTGGACCCCTATCCACCTGGCTGGTGCAGGGGCTGGAGGAGTCTGGGGCAGCTGCAGTGCAGAAAGGCCGTGCAAGTCTGGGAGTTCATTTTGGGGCTGACGGGAGGGGATGGGGAGCTGTGGGGGACTCGGGCTGCGGCTACCCCCAGCGGCAGGCAGCCGCGATGCTCTCGCAGCCTCCCCAGCCCTCCGCCCAGCATGGCCCCGGCCCCCTCCCCTTGCTCCATCCTCATCCTTGGGGCTGTGGGCTCCATCCTCCTTGTGCCACCCCCATAAGCGGCCTCCTCACAACAAGGTAAACTGAGGCAGGCGCTTAGAGGAGAAAGGGGAAGACCATGCTCCATGCCAGGCACCGGCGGGGCGCTGAGCAGCCGGGACACGTGCCTTCGACCCCCCTGGCCTCCTTGCAGTTCAGGTGGAGGTGGCCCCGGGTGCCAGGGGAGGGTGTTGGCGGGGCCAGGAGCAGGTTGGGAAACCTGCGCCTCTTCCTGTTGCTGCTCTCCGGCTGCTGGCTCTGATGTCCTCACCCTGCCGCAATCTTGGGGCCCAGGGAGGACGTGAGTCATCGTGGCACGGGGCCCCCCTACCTAGGCTTTGCCCAGGCCAGAGGTCACGGACCTGCCCGGGGTAGGTGCCAGGCCCAGCCTGACCCCCGGCACCAGGAACACGGAGGGAGGGTCCTGGCTGGAGTGGGCAGGAGCTGAGCTTGGACAATTTGACCCTGCTTCCCTCCTTGGCCCGTCACGGCCAGATCCAGCTGGGGACGCAGCCCCAGCCCTTCACATCTCTCCAGGTGCCAGGCACCAACAACAGGGGCTTGATTGTCCCCTGCTTTGTGCCTGGTTGGAGAAGAGGGTGCCGGGAGGGGCTGCAGGGTGCTGAGGTTCGGTGCACGTGGCCTAGCACCGGGGCGTGAACGCCAGCCCCACCTGTGTGACACCCCCACGCCCGGGCGGCTCCTCCAGGCCGGTGACTCAGTGCTGGGGAAGCGGAGGTGCGGCCGGCGAGTGAGCAGAGGCATCGCTGTGCTCCGGGGGGGACGGGGTCGCGCTCCGGCACCGGGTGCCCCCAGGACTCCCAGTCCCCGGGACAGGACCCCTCAGCCCTGGCTGGTAAGAGGGGCCCTGCTGTGGGTGGGGGGCTTGGGACAGAGCCGAGGGCCTGGCTTTCCTCCCCCCACCTCCCACCCAGCTTGTGCCCCTCAAGGACTCTCTGGGGCAAAGCTGCACCCACCCTGTCTTGGCTGCCTGCCGCGTAGGTGTTTCCCCACCTGTTGCTGCAGGTTTTGGGTTTTCCCCCTGTCCCCCCGAGGTGCTGGGTGCTGGATAAAGCCCAAGCTGGGGCTGTGCCAACGCTCCTGCTGGGACTCAGACCTGCGGGGTCCTGGCTACAGGCTCTTGCCCCCCTACCCATGCTGCCTTGGGGGAGTAGGCAGGGATTTGCCCCGTGACTTAGCCTGGTCCGGCCGGGGTGGTTTCCCCTCCCTCTGCAGCAGGGGCACGGCCTGGGCCTGGGCTCTCCCCAGCACCCACCACCCCCCTGGCAGCAGCAGGATGTTGGTGGCCGTGGCCCCCCTGCTTTCCTGGGGCAGGGGCGGGGGCAATGCCTGAGGCGATGGTGTTGTGCGGCTTTGAGGTTGCACATGGGGTTTGTTGGGGGGCTGATCCTGCCAAGGTCTGGATGTGACCCCACAGCTCCCCACCAGTGCCACAGCGCTGGGACTCTAAGGCCCCTGCTATACATGACATATATTACACAACTGTCTGGCAAATCGCATAACAGATGTAAACCGGACGAACCTGCAGAGTAATTCTCACTTAATAAGAATGGCCATCTAGCTACAAAAATAGCTGACCAGCTACAAAGTCGGTGCTTGTCAATGCATAACAACCCCAGAGCTGGTTTCTATCCAGCCTTAATGTGAATACATTGCAGGGCCCTTTAAGGCCCCGGCCACACATGACATATATGATGCCACTGACTGGTGAATTGTTTGATCCATGTAGCCGGGCCACACCTGCAAAATGATTATCGCACGTGGCACTGGTTCATCGCGTGATAAATGTAGACCGTGCAAAGTCACAAAAATGGCTGTCTAGCCACAAAAAGAGCCACAAAGTCAGTGCTTGAGTATGGGTGACAACTTTGGTGCCTATCCAGCCTTAATTTGAAGGTGTAGAGGGCCGGGGGGTGGGTTGCTGCATATGGGGCAGGCTGAAAATTTCCAGGTGCCTTTGGGCAGCGAGTCTGGCTGCTTGGAGGAGCACGGGCTGCCCCCCGTGGCCCATGCCTTATGTTCCTCCTGTTCTCTCCCCCCATGCAGGGGATGAACCGGACATTGGAGATGGGTGAGCTGTCGAATGAGGAGCTCCGGGACCTGATGGGCAACTACACCTATGATGACTATGGCTATGGCACTGGCTTACCTGACCTGAATTCGGTGTTCTCCAGCCCCTGCCGGCCGGAGGTATCGGAGGCCAACAAGTACGTGGTGGCCGTCACCTACTGCCTGGTCTTCCTGCTGAGCGTGGTGGGCAATGCGCTGGTGGTGCTGGTGGTGTCCTCCAACCGGACCGGGCGCTCGGTCACTGACGTCTACCTGCTGCACCTGGCCGTGGCTGACCTGCTTTTCGCCCTGTCGCTGCCGCTCTGGGCCGTGTATCGGGCTCACGAGTGGATCTTCGGGACCTTCATGTGCAAAGCTGTGTCGGCACTCCAGGAGGTCAACTTCTACAGTGGCATCCTGCTGCTGGCCTGCATCAGCGTGGACCGGTACCTGGCCATTGTGCACGCCACGCGGGCAGCCACGAACAAGCGGCACTGGGTGGTGCCCATGTGCATCTCCGTCTGGATCCTGTCACTGCTGCTCTCGTTGCCCATGTTCCTCTTCCGCGAGGCTTTCCGGGTGCACAACGGCACCACTGTGTGCTACGAGCAGATCGGCCAGAACACGGCACGCATACGTGTGGTGCTGCGCATCTTGCCCCAGACCTTTGGCTTCATGCTGCCCTTGCTGATCATGCTCTTCTGCTATGGTGTCACCGTGCACACGCTGTGCCAGACGCGCAATGCGCAGCGGCAGCGGGCCATGCGGGTCATCCTGGCCGTGGTGCTGGTCTTCCTCGTGTGCTGGCTGCCCTACCACCTCACGCTGCTGGCCGACACGCTCATGCGCCTGGGATCCCTGAGTGAGACGTGCCAGCGCCGGGGCCAGATCGACACGGCCCTCTCGGCCACGCAGATCCTGGGCTTCTCGCACAGCTGCCTCAACCCCGTCATCTACGCCTTCATTGGCCACAAGTTCCGTGCCAACTTCTTCAAGATCCTGGCACAGCGCGGCCTGCTCAGCAAAGAGGCCATAGCCCAGTACGGCCGTGGCGGCTCCTTGGCCTCCTCGTCTGCCAACACCTCCACCACGCTGTGAGCCCCTGGGCCGCTGGCTGTGGCCTTCTCAGCCGGGCAGCACCCCCTGCCTCCGGCTCCTGGACTCCAGGGACTGGCTTTGGCCGCCCCTGGTTCCCGATGCCCTCCTGCCTGCTGTGGCCGGGGTCCCTCGTGTCCCTGCCACCTGCTGTGCAGTTCCCCATGGCCCTGGACTTGGATGTATGCCGCTGCAACCCTCCCTCCCCACCCCACTGGGGCTCCAGGGAGAAGTCCCAGGTGGCATGGGGGATGCCCACGGTGACCGGGACAGGAGTGCAGCACAGGGTGGATTCACAGCGACTGCACCCACAGCTTGAAACATGCATGTGCATGGGTGTAGCAGGGTGCACATGTATGGGATGAGCGTGTGTGCACATGTATGTGTGTGGATGGATGTGGGGTGCGTGTATGTGTGTATGTGTGCGCGCTTGTTTGTGGGGGGGCTGCACACAAATGTGAGTGCACGCGCATGTATTGTGCGCATGTGTCTGTGTCTACGTGGGGGACTTTACGTGGATGTGATGGTGCACGTGTGATCGTGTACAGTGTGTATATGGGGCTGTGTACATGGATGTGGGGCTGCATGTGTGCGTGTGTGTGTGCTGGTGTGTGGGGGCTGTATGTGGATGTGAGGGTGCATGCATGTGTTGTGTGCATGCGTGTGCATATATGTGGGGGCTGTACATGGATGTGGTGCTGTGAGTGTGTGTATTCTTTGTGTGCAGGTGTATGCTTGTATGCAGGGGCCTATACATGGATGTTGGGGGTGTGTGTGTACACAAGTATTGTGTGAGTGCATGTGCATATATGTTGAGACTGTACATGGATGCAGGGCTGTGTATGTGCGCATATATTGTGTGTATATCTATGGGGGGCTGTACATGGACGTGGGGGCGGATGTGTGTGCATGTGTTGTGTCCATGCATGTGCTTGTATGTGGGGGGCTGTATATAGCATATAGATGCTAGGCTGCTTGTGTACATCCATGTGTGTGCTTGTATGCAGGTGGTGGTCCGTGGCGGTGTGGGGCACATGCCTGCATTGTGTCCATGTGTGTGCATAGCTGTGGGGGCTGTACATCGCTGTGGGGCTGTGTGTCTGCACTTGCTGCGTGTGCCTATACGTGGGGGGATGGTGGGTGTGTGTGTACACACGAATAAACAAGCCTTTGCCCGGAGCGTGGCCAGTTCCCCTAATGACGCACTCTCTCATTACAGGCGTGAGCACCCTGGGCTCTGTGTGATGCCCTGTTCCCTCCTTACCGTGCATGCAGGGGGTGCCTCAGTTTCCCCTGCTCCTTCCCACGCAGGCTTTCCCCCTCAGCCCTGACACCCAGGAGGTCCTCAGTCACCTCCTCCAGCTCCACCCCAGAGCCAGCTGCATTTCCCTGACACCCTGGGGCTGGTGTTTCCAGGATGTTTCCCAAGATACCCTGCAAGTGCTGCCACACCCTGTGTGTCCCCCCAGCTCGGCCACCACATCCTGGAAACCACTCGCGTCACCTCTGCCGGGCACAGGGGGCAATGCCACCTGCGTCACCCCTGCTGGGCACGGAGGTGCGTCACTCCTGCTGGGCATGGGGGCGGGGGGCAATGCCCAGGAAGGGGTGGGGGGTGACTGCCAGGTCCCACAGGGCTGGGGCACATGCCCCTGTGGACAGAAGGCCTGGCTCTCTCCGGCCCCAGGGTTGGGGGAGTTGGGCAGGGACCTCCAGCTGCATCCTCTGCCCTGGGCAGGGGTGACACAAGCAGCCCCTTGTGCAACGGTGTGAGGGGAAATGGAGGCAGGTTCCCGTGAGCGGCAGCTGGGAAGCGTCTTGCCCAACTGGCCCTATTGCAACAATGGGGCCAGGAAGTGTCGGAGGAGCTGGCTGGGGGGTGGCGGGGGGAAGGGGTGGGGAGATCTGCCCCTTCCACCCCGCCAGGGCAGTCTGGGGCCCCCCAGCTGGCTGGACCTCAGGTCGGCGCAAAGAGGAGAGACACGGATGTCCCTGGCGTGCATCAGCATGTATTGGTGTGTCAGGAGCTGCACCCGGGAGCATCTTGCTGCAGCTGCAGTAGTGGGTTGTTATCCCCGTCTGTCTGCCCGTTCCTGGGGGCTGCATCTCAGGGGCCCTGGGGGGACCGGGCTCGGGAGCAGGACAGGCAGCGCCGCTCCCCCCGTGCGCTGTCCACGGAGCAGGCCTGGCACACGGCCCTGCCGCACACCCTGGGGGCATGCGAGGGTGTCAGGCTCGCATAGTGCCCTGGGGCAGAGCTGGGAGCAGTTCCTATGATGCTCTGTGGCAGGGCTGGGGTAGGGGCAGGTGGGGGGAGCTCCCACAATGCCCCGGGGCAGGGGAACCCCACACTCACCGGCACTGGTGGCGGCGGGCGAAGAGGCCGGAGCTGCCATGGCAGCGGGCGCAGGAGCCCGGGACCAGGGGGGCGCTGATGCCCTCGCTCTGCTGCCACAGCGAGTCCTTCTCCCTGCAGGGGCGGGGGTATGTTATTGCACAGGAAGCATGTGTGCACGTGCGTGTGTGTTCACATGTGTGGGTGCCTGCCTGTTTCATAGTTTCATAGTTTCTAGGGTCAGAAGGGACCTGAGCAGATCATCTAGTCCGACCCCCTGCCATGGCAGGAAAGAGTACTGGGGTCAAACGACCCCAGCAAGGTGTTCATCTAACCTCCTTTTAAGGCCCCCCAGGGTAGGAGCCAGCACCACTTCTCTTGGAAGTTGGTTCCAGACCCTAGCCGCCCTGACCGTGAAGTTGCGCCTCCTGATATCTAACCTAAACCTACCCTCTGCCAGCTTGTGACCGTTACTCCTGGTCACTCCTGGTCGTGCTCGTGCAGCCGTGCCAGGGGTCCCGCAATGACCGCAGCCAATTCCCTCAGCTCTCGGGGGTGGAGATCGCCCGGACCAGCTGATTTGAATACATCCAGTCCCGCTGGACGTTCCCTGACTAGATCCTATGTGCACATAGGTGTATATGTTTGTGCACTCGCATGTGCATGTGTGTGTGCATGTAGGCACCTGGGCCCATGTGTGCACGTGTGTGCAGGTGCATGCATATCTGAATGTGCATGCATGTGCATTGATGTGCACACATAGGTGTGTGCATGTGCACTCACGCATGTCCTCTGCTCACATTGCGTCCTGGCCCCCTGCACACATCATTCAGCCCCCCCGCCAAGCCAGCTCTGGGGCTTGCACCTGTATGTGCCACATCTTGCGTGTGCAAACCCTGGGCCCTGCACAGGGTTGTCCCCCTCCCTCCCCCCCACCAGACACAGAAGGTTATGGGGGGTGGTGTCAAGGGCCCCAGCGCCACCTCCTGGCCCAGGCGGGGACACGTCTGGGCTCCTCTTCCCTTTCCCCATTGCATTGTGGGGCCAAACTCCCGCAGGCTGCGGGGCAGGGGCTGCGGGTTGGGAGTGAGGGGCACCACGGGGTTGTGTGTCGGGACTGAGGGGCATGGAGGGGGCACTCACCGCAGCAGTTCCAGCAGCCGCCCCTTCACCTCCCGCTCAACCTCGCGCTGCTGCCCCAGCTCCTCCCGCGCCGCCTGCTCCCGCGCCAGGGCTTCGTGCTCGGCCTGCGCCAGGCGCTGCACGTCCTGCTGGCACCTGGGCACAGGGCAGGTCTCAGACGGCGTGTGCGGTGGCAGCCCGGGGCCAGGATCGGGCCCCTCCAGCTGGGCACCCCACGTGTGGCCAGGGCCGGGGGGGCTTCTACCTGCTCAGCTCATCCTCCCGGGCCCGGAGCTCCTGCTCGTGGCGCTGGGCGCTGGCGCGGGCTTCAACCAGGTAGGCACACAGGTGCTGGAGGCAGGGGCGGGGCAGGAGTGAGGGGGACCACAGCATGCCCCTCACTCCCGACCCACAGCCCCTTCCCCCCTGGTGCCCCTCACTCCCGACCTGCAGCCCCCTGCCCTCGAACCCTGCCGGTGCCCCTCACTCCCACACCGCAGCCCCCCGCCCCCAGTCCTGCTGGTGCCCCTCACTCCTGACCCTGATGCCCGTCCTTACCTCCAGCATCTCTGTGCCCTCCCCGGGGGTCCGCGGCAGCTCCAGCTGGGCCAGGGCCTGGGCCAGCCCCTCCAGGAGGGCTCCATGCTGGCTGCTCAGCGTCACCAGCTGCTCCCGCACCCGCCCCAGCTCGGCTTGGACCCCTGCCAGGGCCTGCCGCAGCCCCGCAGCCTCTGCCTCGGCCCCCCCAGGATCTTGGGCCCCCGCCTGAGCCCCGAGCACTGGGGCAGCCGCATGGTCCCCGGGGCCGGTGGCAGAGGTGTCAGGGCCTGGGCATGTGCTGGGCTGCAGGGCGGGTCCCTGCGGGGCTGGGCAGGCCAAGGGGGCACCGGGATCTGGTTCAGGGCTCTCGGGCTCCTCATGTGTCTGGCTCCCGCTGTCTGGGGGCTGTTGGGCGTCCACGGCCTGGTGCACGGAGCAGAGCGTGTGATGGGGGTTGCAGGGGCCGGGGGGACCACGTGTGCATGTGCCCCTGTACATGCATGTGTGTGAGAGACAGCACATGCCTGGGTGTGTGCATGTATGTATGTGTGCTTTGGTGTGCACGTGCATGCATTTGTGCGCAAGTGTGTGTACGGGTACATGCATTTGTGTGGGAGGCAGCACAGGCGTGTGTCTGTGTGAATGGGTGCATGCAAGTGTGTGGGCTTGTATATGCATGTGCACATATGTGCATGTGTAAGTGCATGCACGTGGAGTAGCAAGCATGTATGCTTCTGTGTGAGTAAGCACATGCATGGGCATATGTGCATGCATGTGAGGGCACGTGAGTGAGGACGTGCAGGTATGTATGTGCATGTGTGCGCATGTGAATGTGCACATGCATGTGTGCGCTTGTGCCTGCATGTGAGTAAATGTGAGTGCATGTGTGTATGTGCATGTGTACATGCCTACCCATGTGCATGCCTATGGCCAGCGCTTCCTCCTATCCCCCACTCCCCAGCCTGATCACCCCTGCCTCCAGTGCAGCTGAGCCCCCCACCCCCTCATGCCCCCTTGCCTTGGGGATGGCTCTGAGCCCTGGGCACCACCAGCCCCTCCAGTCCCTGGGGGAGCTGGGCAGCTGAGCCAAGGCGCCCCTGGGGCCGGGGTAGATGGATTTGGCCCTGGCACTGTGGCCGGGCCCCCCCACACCCACGGCAGGTGCCACAGAGTCTCTGCCCCCCACCTCGCCCCCAATCACTTCTGGGGGTGGGGTGCATAGTACCCGGTGTATGGCCCTTTAAGGTGTTGGCCTCGCTCACTTCTAGCTCCGCCCTTTGTGGGAGGGGCATAAATCTGGGGCTATATAAGGAGGGGATGGAGTAGCACCTGGGCCCACAGGGGTTGGGGGGCACCCACCTGGCTGGGCTGGTCCTGGCAGCCGGAGGGGCTCCGCCTGGAACCGGGGGAGGGGCTCCTGTAGGGAGTGATCATAGCAGGGCTTGGGCATTGTCGGGCTCCCCGGCCCCCCCCCAGCATGTGCCAGAGCTCGGCTCCAGTGCCAGCAGGGCAGGGGCTGTGGGTTGGGAGTGAGGGCACCGGGGGGGCAGGGGCAGGGCGAATCACCGTGCGGTGCTGGGGGGCCAGCCGGCGTCCAGGCCAGGGGGCTGCGGGTCGAGGCAGAAGGCGACGCCGTTCAGGTCGTAGAGGCAGGCCAGGAGGTCGGCGCAGAGCCGTGGGTCCAGGAAGGGGCTGCGCGCGTGGTACCAGGCCCTGCGACGGGGTGGGGGAAACTGAGGCCCTGAAGCTGGCCCCACCCGGGCGTTTGGGCTTCGCCCGAGTGGGGCCAGCCGCCCCCCCACCCCCGGACCCCGCTCACCTGGTGGCCTGGGGGTCCAGCAGGCAGAGCTGCAGGGTCTCCGCCAGCTGCCCGCGCGCCAGGCAGTAGCGCAGCAGCGCACGGCCACGGCCCAGCGGGGTCCGGAGCTGTGGGACGGGGTCACACGTGGCTGGGGTAGGCAGGTGCCCTCTGCCCCCCAGCCCTGCGCGGGTCAGGAGGGGCACCGGCCAGCCTGGGCCCCCCCACCCCAGGCACCTGTGGCAGGTGTTGCACGTGGGTGACGCCCTGGTGCTCGTGGTGCCCGCGCAGGCCCTGGCACAAGAAGTCCCAGTAGTCCTGGCGCTGTCCCCACAGGCTGCGCTTCTCCTTCAGGTCAAACTGGGGGGGGCAAAGGTGGCACTGTCAGCCCTGGAGCCCCCCCACGCCACCTGGGGTGGGGGGCAGGGGCTGGCTCTGGATGAGCTGGGGGGCGGCCCTCCGGCTCCTTGGCCCTGCCCTCAGCTGGGGGGGACCGCCCAGCCGCCTGGGTCCCCTGCCCAGATCCGGGGGGGGGGTCTCGGCTCATACCTGGAGCAGGAACTCGAGGCGGGCGCAGAGTGCCAGCAGCTCCGGGCTCCCGTCCGTGACGGGTTGGCCCCGGTACCTGTGGGTCAGCACCGTCACCGTGGCTGGAGGGGACCAGCAGGTTGGGAGTGAGGGGCACGGGCCGGGCTGGGGGGGCTGCGGGTCAGGAGCGAGGGGCACCGGCCGGACACAGTCTGGGCCCTGCCCCGTCGCTGCCCCCCCTCACCTGGGCTTGGGATTCGGGCAGGGAGGGTAGAGGGGAAGTGAGAACCGCAGCCACCCACATGCCCGGAGGGGAGGTGGTTGGGGGGGGCGGGGATCCCCGTGCGGGGCTGTCAAAGGATGAGGATAAGGGAAGCTGAAGCCGTGGTGGGGGGGGATGTTGGTGAGCACTGGGGGGGGGTGCTGGTGCTGGAGTGCTTGACCCCTGCTCAGCGCTGCCCCTGAAGCCTGTGGGTTGCTGGGCCCATGGGGGGGGCAGATCACGGTGCCTGTGACTCAGCCCCCCCTGACTCAGTCTCCCCAGAGATGGCTGTAGGGGAATTAACCCTTCCCAGCCTGGGCTGCCGCCTGCTCCCTGGGCCTGGTTGAGCTAGAGCAGCCCCTGGGGTCGGGGTCAGGGTTGGGGTCAGGCGGGCGCTCACCCCGCAGGTCGGCGAGGACGCG